CCATATGATACAACATTAAAACCTAAAGCTGTATATAAGATTTGGTAACATTCTGTAGCTGACGTTTTGCAACAGAAGTGGAAGTAAATGACAATTCAAATCTGGTAATGTGATAGTTCCATTTCAGACACCTTGTACTCAATGATAATATATTATACAAATTTCACAACACGGTGTTCTAAAGCAAATCGCTCTCTTTCAAATGCCAAAAAATGATTTGACAAATTATGACTAAACACGCCATCATGAATTGTTTGTGCAGATGATATTTGCGGTGGCAGGAAACTTTTGTTAAAAACCTGTTATTATGTATTACTAAGTTGGGTTTGTCTAAAAAGAAAAGAGCCTTTATGCTGCCTTTACTATTCTTCTTTCATGCATCTATCATCTGTAAATTTACTAATACTGGGTATTCCAAATAAAAGTATACACTTAGCATCTGTTAATGCATGTGTAACGTAGATTTGCGTATGCTGCAATGTAGCATATGTAAGGTGTCTCTGCAGGATGTGTGGAACTGTTTTTCAGGCTTTTCTAAGCATTAAATCATTTCTTCTTAGCATAGGCTACTGCACTTTTTTAAACAAGGTATGTGTGCAGCAGCTGTGGTTGATGGTGTAACATGAAGTTTAGCTTAAAATTCATTTTGACAAATTTTAAAATGGACATCCTTCCATCAAACTTGAAGACAAAAATTCTTTGCTTCAGCGTTAGCATTATCCTGCTGTATATAATTCTTTACTGGCCTGCAAAAAGTATAACAACAAGATTCTATATGACATTTCTATCTCAGAATTAACCAAAGTACAAGTACAGAATATAGTTTCCTTAATAATATCAATACAAATCAAATTATTGTGCTTTTTGATTTAAATATAGTTTTATCTTAAGATATTGTACTCCTCCTAAACATGTACAACTTCTAGCATTTCATTAATAAATTTCACTTTAGTATCTAACTATATATATTCCTGTTGAGTTGTTTTATTAAATTTATTGCAGTAAATGTTGTACCAGATCATGAAAACTTAAATGCAGTTATTTTAATTGACTAGATGTCAGAATCAAGAAAGATGGATTTCTCTTTAAAATTTGCTCTTGACATGTATTACATGTCATTATTATAAGATGTGTATTATGTTCATACATACCTAACAGCTTTAGCAGTTAGATTGTCTTCCTTCTGGTTTCTTAAAATAGTTACATCAAATATACATGACTAGTAAGAATTTGTCAGTGTTTCACAGATGCAGAAAATAAACAGTCTTAGTGCTACGCCAAATAAAGTTGGTGCAATTAATGAAGTTTTTAACTCTGTCATTAATAACGAAATTTAATGTTCAGAATAAGAGATGTAATAAATTCTTAAGTTTTCCCTGCATTCAAGTTCTAGCATCAGTGTTATGTTATGTATCAAAGCAATGAAGTTCTTTCATGTTATGTATCAAAGCTGAACAGCATCAATGAAGGATGAACCTGGAGATACTTCATTCATGTCATTTCATGTAAAATGAAATAGGGTGATGGAGTTGTGATGGCCAAACTTGATATTCTGAATGAGACAGTATGCCTTCCTGCATTATCAACTTGCAGCAATGAACTATATCAGCAGTCAAAATCAGATACAATATGCATGCTCCTTTTTCAATATTTTATCATATATTAATTAATCCATATCATTTCTTGGATTATGATTTCAGTACATAAAAGATGATTAAAGTTTAAAATAAATCAATATTAAATTCATCATGTTTTGACTAATACTTATGCATGATGAAGTCAACTTTCAATTTTGGGGGCCTATGATGACCATTTTGGATCCAAAATGAACTAAATTTAGGTCTAGGATTAGTATTTCATACTTGCCAACCTATGACACTCAAAAATCAGGAGATTTTTCACAATGTTAAAAAGACTTTTTAAATGATAAAAATATAGTTTTTAATAATGAATTAACTTTAAATAGTTACTAATTCTTAAATGCAAGCAACACAAAAATACCTTACACATAAAAAACATTTTTATTACTTGCATCGTTTAAGAAAACAAAACAAAAACAAAAAAAAAAAAGTCACTTTAATCAGTTTTCATACAAATGTTATGAACAGTGGCAGATTTTGCTTTCGTTAAGAAAGAAACTTCATAATTTTGTTCATAGCAATTGCCACGTAGGCCTGCTTTCGCTAATAAAAGTTTTTCTAATGTGTCATCACTAATATTAGATCTAAATTTAGTCCTTGTTTTCGCAACAACACTGAAAATCCTTCTCACACATTGCATTACTATGGGGAACTGTCAAGATGGCCAACATAATTCTAGAGAGTTCACTATATTTTAAAATTCCATCAGCACCTTTCAATTTTCCAATTAACCTCCACTGGGTGTCAATCCTAGCTGATTTTATAACTTCATCCAAGTTTTCTAATTGTAAACTGCAAAATTGCGACTGCAGTATATCAGTAGCAACATCAATATCATCATCTTTCATGACTAAACGAAGTAACACAGGAAATCTGTTCAAAAAGTACCTTATATCAGAAAAAGATGCATTTGCTAGAGCAGAAACATCAGCAACTTTAGCATGCAAAATCACTTCATCGTTGACTGGAAATTTATGTAGTATGTAATCACATACTCGACAGAAGTAACTTCTAACATGAAGATAAAACTTATTTTTGTCTTCTTCTGAAAGTTCTTCCACTACTTTTGTAGTTGCAGCTCCTATTACCAAATCTTCATCTTTCTTCTGATTTTCTGTTTCACCATAAATCACATCATATATAGAATTACAAGACAAAACACAGACTGGTTTTACAAACTTTGATAAAATGTCTTTAAACAGATCATAAATCATTGATTGCAAAACATGAATTAATGGAATTGCTTTGTAGAATTGTGTTCAGAACATCGAATGATGGCAAAATGAATTGTAAAAAAAAAAAGCAAAAAGCTTTGTTAAGGTCCGAAGAAAAAAACATAAATATTCGTTCTTCACAAGATAAACTTACAGTAATCGGAAAATGTTTTGTGTGTTGAGAAATTTTTTTTTATTTTGAGAGAAATTGGTATCAGTTTTACAATTATATTTTGCAGAATTATTTTGAGAACTGCCAGTTGAATTGCTGAATGGTGCAAAAATTACTTTATTTTCCTCAAACCTATTTTTAACAATGGAAGAAGTAACTACATCTCTATTTACTTTAGGTATTTTATAACTTTCAAAAGAGCCTTTTATCTTAACTCTCGAAGCATTGACTTCTTTAAAAAATGCAAGAAGTGGGTTCCATTGATCGAGGATTCTAGATAAGCATTTCTTTAAAGACAACCAGCGTGTATACACTTGTTTCAAAATTTTTCTAATTTCAATATTATGCAGCTGTTAGAACTGTTTCAATTTTCCCTTCCTTTTAAGAACTCCTTTCAAGATAATAATAAATATCAACAATGTGTTCATCCACATTTATTGGTAAAGAAGCTGCCCCTTTTTCAGCTGCTAAATTTAAGAGGTGACAGGTGCACCTCATAATCTGCAAATCTGAATTTGCCTTTCTTAAGATGCCTGCAACACCAGTCTTCAAGCCTACCATTACTGGTGCATTATCGGCACCAAGCGCTAAGCAATTATCCAGAGGGACTGCATTTTCTTTTAAAGTTTTAATAATTAGCTGTGCTATATTAAAGCCTGTCGAATGTCCTTCTAAAGTGGGGACAGAAAGTAAACTGCACTCAATTTCTGAAGACTCTGGATTAAAAAAAGAAACAACAATTGGATACAGTTTTGAATTGGTATTATTGCTTCCATCCGTAGAGAGGCAGAACGGAGCTGTTTTAATGCAATCAATAACTGAAGATTTATTTTTCAAACCCATTTCTTTAACAATTGCACCTGTTTTGGTCCTTGCACTTGAGTATTTCTTAGCGATTTCACTATCGGGAAACATTTTTCTAAATAAAGCTGCAGCGTGATCCGATGCATTCATTGGCAGGTTATGCTCCAGAAAGCACATTCTGCATTAATCACTTTTTGGTCTTTTGTTTCCGAAGAAAAATTTAATTTTTCTTTTTTTTTTTTTTTTTCAAAACAACTCATGTTGTCCTTGTGTTTTTGCGTACGCACATGTTTGAGAATATCTGCCCTTCCACCAATGCGAAATCGAAAAATCGCAACGACAGATGGTACACATCGCAAATTTATTACATTTCCTTGAAGAAATAATGGAAGGAAAGTCAACTGTGTACGATTTTTGAAACGTGCACGAGTATTTCACCTTTCTCGCAGACATAACAAAAGACGATAATTTCTAAAACTATTTCCCAAAGGCACGTGTACTCACACAACTCAGGACAAGATGAACGAAATAACGAAAGAACATCCAAATAACGGCCAACGGCCTTGAGCTTGCTTTGTGCTCATTGGCTAATATATGCCAGATGACACGCAGTGGAGCTCGATGCCCATTGGAGAACTGGAGAACGACGTTTCTGGATACGTATGCTGTCACTCACAAAGCAGAAATTCTCATCTGATTCGCAAGGTTTTCATTTTAGATATAATCTAGAGAAAATACAATTGCTTTCAGATGTTCAGAAGTCCAAAATCACTTTTTTTTTTTTTTTTTTTTTTTTTTTTTTTTTTTGTTCATATAACGAAGTATTAAGCCAAGTTCCATAAAAATCGTGAGAAATTTTAAGAATAAGAAAAAGTCAGGAGAAATATATTGTAAATCGGATTGGCGGGAGAGCGGTCGAAAATCGGGAGTCTCCCGCCTAAATCGGGAGAGTTGGCAACTCTGGTATTTAAGGAAGAAATAGTTGAGCCTTCTTTCAAAGCACTCTAGATATAATTGTATTAACTAGACATATTTTGAATTAATTCAAATCTTCAGTGATACATATTTTGAAATTTGTGTTAATTTGTACGAGTATTTTATTTTTTAATGAAATCTGAATAAAGCAGTACAATAAGTTGTGTTTGCAATTATTATTATTTTCTTTTCCAGTGAGGAAGAGGAACTGTCTCTTGACCATTCACAATAAAACAAACTGTGTCATTTACCTTCAGCTGTTCTAAGCTTGTTAAAGTAGCACTTTGTGATATAGCAGTACAAAATTACTTTCTCTTGCTTTTTATATAGGTTATTTGAATGCCTGTGATATTTTTTAGAAAATGTGCAGATTTATTGTTTATTTTTAAAATAAAATATTCCTTATTTCTGATGAACTATTTTTATAGCATTGTTATATGTAATATTTTATACCTGTTTATTTAAAATGAAGTTGTCAGTTTGTTTTATTGTGTTCAAAATATTTGTTATAACTTTTATCTTGACCCTATTTTTCAATTTTATTTTCCTTGTAACAAAAGTAGTTTTTTTGCCACGTTATATAAAGTTAATGTGTAATGAGTTAAAGAGTAAAGCAAGTTATTTAAAAACTAGTTTTCCTTTTTGTGGAAGTTTTAAGTGTAAAATAATTTCCTTCAGATCTTGAACACAAAGGCAACTGTTCATTTTTATGTAAGTATTAATTATTTGCTGAATCAAAAATTAAACATTTCTATAAATAAAGAGTTATATATTTTTGTTATTATCTGAACATATAATTTCATGTTAAATTTTTAAATTGTTATTTCTTCACTTATGGATGCAAGTTAGAGTAACTTTCTATGTGTGCTAAAATGTTTCAACTCTCACCTTAGTTATGACTCTAAACTGTATTTATATACTAATGTGTTCTTTAAAATTATAAATAGTAAATAAATAGATTTAAACTACTTCCTTGAGCTTCTCTTTAAAAGCATCATGAAATTTCCGTAAAAAATTAAATGACGTTGTATACAATAAAATCCCATTTTATCAAACTTCAGTTAATTGACATCTGATTTAAACTGAATGCTGTAGTAAACTAGGCACAACTTGTAAAGCTGAAAAGAAAACTAGGCACAACTTGTAAAGCTTTTTTTCCCCCTTTCTTTTTCCCCATTTTATTTTATTCAAAAGTAAATGCAATATCCACTGCTTGTTGAAATCTCTTCCATTTTAAACATATTTGAGTTAAGCAGCTGAGTAATAGACAGTGATTTGTATATTGAAAATTCTGATATTTACCAAATAAGATAGCATCTAATGATAAATCTAGTAATTAATACCTATAATAATGAAAAATTAATGCTACAATTCAACTATTAATGAAGTTTTTAAATTTATTTTTAATTATTTTTTATAATTAAATACTTGATGAAATTTTAAACTTTTATAAAGAACTGATCTGTCCATATATATATTTTTCATATTGTTCATCAACAGTTCTTCAGATGTGCACTCTCAAGTTCATAAAATTGCTGATAGGTTCTCTGATCACCATCTTTCAAATCAAGAGTTTGTACATTTTTTTAAATTTCTTGAGGTTGGCCTGTCATCACTTTCTGAAGCTCATTTAGCACTTTCTAAAATAATGTAGTCAACTTTTCATGTACTATGTCAGTATTAGCACCTGTTGCAACATATTCTAAAAATGTTATCTTCATACTTTCTCCACTGATTTTTGAACCATAAGCTATAGCTCTCTGAGTAAATACCATCATTGTTTCTTCTGAATGTTTATTTTTTTGAAAGCAACCACATTTGAAACCACATTTTTGAAAGCAACTTTTAACTGCATTTTAAGACTTTTCCCTATGCACTGACTGTAATATATATAGCCTCTATATATCCTTCTCTGCTTCATTAGTCACTAAGTTATGCTGTAATTACTTTCATTTAACATAACACACAAGTTTATTTAGAGAATTTATAAATGAGTGTGACATATGCTTTTATAATTTTAAACTGAGTGATAAATATTTTTTGTTATTTTGATATAAATGTATGAAATACCAAGTTTCCTCTTTATTTCCTGAAGTAATTACTTCTATGGAAATTGTTTAAGCAGTTGATATTTGTACTTTTGATATAACATAATATCATTCAAAATGCTGATAATAAATCTGTAAATAAAGAAATTAAATCTGTTGTGATTTACATTTTATATAAATTGGCAGTTCTGCATTTTCGTTTTTACCTCAGAAATTGCTTTTAGCCTTATACATTTTTTTAAAATCTTTAGATGGATATTTCGTATATGTATTCTTATCATTTGCTTCCCAATAATGAATCATACAAGTTTTTTAGACTTCTTAATTATTTCATTGCAGGTAGAATACTTTATGCTTGGCTAGGGAAATTATTCTGTTTAATCAGAAAAAATCAGGAAAATTTATGAATTTTACCATCCCTTGAGTATAGTGAAACCCCTTACTTGAATATTCTGGCTGGAGTAGTTTTATGCCATTGCACATGCATACAGTTTCATTACTTCCTTTTAAAGAATTAGTTCAGCACAACAGAATTTTGGTATTCAGTACATTTAAAATCTGTAAACAATCAGTAATTGATATTTAAAATGAGATACAGTAAAAGCTAAGAAAAACAGAGCAGCACCGATACCTCTCAGTTTATATATTGCCTTGTATATTTATTTTAATGACAGCTTCCAGACCCAGGCCTAATGTCATCTAAAAATTGAAGTATGTTTTGGAGCAGTTGTATATAATATACGTATGTGAATCAATTACTCATTGAGTTGTGGATATTAAGTTCTAACTATTGTTTTGTCATTGTCTGATATCAATAATATCTGTTTAGTCAGATAAGTCATTTGCCTAAAAGATGTAACATTCATGTATTATTCTCATTTAGTATAAAATTTATGATTTTGCTGTTTTCAATATTTGTCTTGCAACAAATGTTTTTAGAAACCATTCATTGAGCCTTGGATAACTTCCCTGCTTCATTCTGTGTGTAACACAAATCATCTTAGGCACTAGAGTTATTTTTCATATTATATGCTGTTCAGTTTTTTCCTTTCCAGAAAAAGTTCTGTTCTACAGTCAAAATAAAACTGGTTAAAATTTATAAATTTTATGCAATATAGTTTTTGGTTTTAGATTTTATGTGACTAGAATGAATGTTATATACCTTATATTTTCAATTTGTAATTTAATCACTTTGTCACTTCAAGCTCAATTTATGTCAAATTATTTATCAAGTGCCAATAAATAAATGTATGAAGTGATTTTTGTGTGTGAATGATTTAACTCTGAATTAATTATTCTCAGCCCTTTTTACCCTAACTAGCACTTCTGATGTTAGAAGCATTTATAGCATGGTTTCTTAACTGGAATGGAGAAAAGCAGTCAGTCTTTTCTTTACCCGTTAAGCATTTAGTTTATGAATATAAAGACTGCTTAAGTTTTGCTATTTATCAACATTTCATATATTTTTTGTTTAATTTATAAAAAACATTAAAAAGTAATCTAAATAAATGCATGTGTATGTTTTTTTTTTTTTTAACTCTTGGAAAGGGGGTGCAATGATGAAAGAGATAAATGGGCCAAAAAAGGTTGAGAACCCTTATTTTATAGCTCAGGTCTTTCCATTTTTTAGTCTTGTGCTAGATTACATGCCATCCGTGCTGTGTCGCATATTGCTTATTCTCAGAAGTGTTGACATTTAGTTTCTTAAACTTTCAAATGAAAATTTATAATCATGCAACTAATAATGATTTGAAAGCAGTACACCTGGAGTTTAAATGTTGTTTATCTTTTTTAATTTGCAAAGTAACTGATAATTTTATAAATTTTTGCCATTATTCCAGTTAATGAAACATGTCGTTTATTACATAATAAAAAATACTATACTTGCATTCCTCCTATTTTTGCTAATTTCACTAACAAAAAAGGGGAGGGTTTGCAATTTCAAATGTTCTAAATTATAATGCTCCTTCTATAAACTTGAACATTATGATCACTATTCTCTTTTATTCACAAGTTGGGAGAGCATCAATTTAATCGAGAATATACAAGTATATTAAGAGTCGATGTATCCATTATCACGTAAAGATTCGACTCGTAAATAAGAACTTCCAGTTGAAGCATAAAAATATTTAACGAATAGCTTATGTACGTTATTTAAACGCAAAATTTACATAAAATATAAATTTTCCCATCATAGGGCCAAGATTAGTTTTATCAAAAACAATTATTATAATTGTTGATTACCACTATGCAGCCAAGAATAGATCATTTCAAGTGTCGCACGCAAAACCAAACTAAAAGAGTTATTAAAATTTTTCTGTGCAGCTGGTCACGTGACCTAGTTGGCAGCAAACGATAAATAATAAAAGAAAAATTGACTCCATCGATGAGGGAAAGAAATAATTTCAACACTCCCTAGTAGTCAGTTACTTCTTTTATAGTCATTTCTGGTTTTCAAAGTTTCTAGGCCATATGATGGGTGCAGGTTGTGGATATATCTAAAAAAATCTGATTTTAAATGCCTTACATTTCATACAAGTTAAATTCAGTGCCAGATTTTGCCAGAAATTTAATATCTGGTTTTGAATATACATTATACTTACCTTTTAAATAAAATTTACAAAAGCTACTTCGAAAATCATTTTCACAGGTAAAAATTTCTATTTTAAATGGCTTCATTTCCCAAGCCTTAAAACTTTTTTAAAATCAAATTTAAAGATAAAATTACACAAGTCATGAAAACATTTTATTTACAAAAACTATGTACAATTTTAAGTTTTATTTAGCAAAACATGCTTTTATAAAATAAGACTGAAAAATTTCACCAGAACAGTCCTTTTGAGTTTTCAGTTCACAATTACATGTCAATCTAGCAACTGTAATTTTACTGCCCTTATTTAATCCCAGAACCAGCCAGGATTTTTGTGTTTTTCCCCCTTCCATGAAAAGCTAAAATAAAATACTAATTCTTGTTAATCTCTGAAGAATCTTGCATGACACAGCTGCCAAAACAAATGAATAAAAAGAAATCACATTTTTAAAATAACTTAATTTTAAACATCTAAAAGCAGTTTTTACAGCATTTAGGAAGCTATTTGTTACTTTTAATTGTGCAATGATTTTTAACTTAAAATCAATAGTCTATTCTCATCAAAACTGAATTATCTGCAGACAGCAATTTGATGCTTCAGTTCAGAATCAAAACATTATCTTTTTTGCAAAATAGCAAATAGACGTAGTTTATGGGCTTTTATCATTTCTTCAAGTACCTGTATTTCAACATTTAGTCCTTCTTTTTCTTTTTCTAATTCTGCAACTCTAATCTCCATTTCCTTCTGTTTTTCTTTTCGTGTTTTACGGCAGTTTTTGGAAGCTATGTTGTTCTTCCTTCTAATTTCATGGTAACGACCTCCATCAGGTGTCTCACAAAGCCGCTTGGTAGTGTTCAAGTTAAAAATGTCATCTTCGCTAGGGTTTTCAATTGATCTTTTTGTACTACCCAAGCTAGAAATGCTATCTTGACTGCAACTTCCTTGTAGGGAGAAGCCACTGTTAAAATTATGAAGTTCGTATTTGCTGTCATGGCCTGGAGATGGGATTGAAGAAAGTGTGTCAGAAACTGCAATGTCTGGTACCTGAAAATTTAAATTTCATATTTGTAATTCACTTGCAGTAGTTTGTTATTATGACAAGAATTAAGTTCAGAAGAGGTTTATTAAATCATGCTTAAGAGATTCAGGAGTTAAAAGAAGCAATATAATGCAGAAATATATATTAAAATAAATGTTTTTCAATGCACGACTAAGCCCTTAACTGTTTCCAACAAAATTAGCTGTAAAGCCTAGCCATAAATAAAAAATTCATTAATACTTATTCCATATTGAGTCAATTAATTATGTGAAAATCCTCATTATAAGAAACTTCATTTATTAAAAAGTAAGCAACATGATATTTTATTTCAATTGTCAATTAGTTGCTGTTCAGACAACACTGCAATTAAAATATTGCCAAAAATGTTTAACCGTTTGACTGCTATGCGGCACAAAAGCGGCGCATTCATTTGCCTCGAAAACTGCGCTGCGAGTTTCAGTGTGTCTTTGTTGCTCCCGATGGGTGTGAACGTAGTCTGACTACTTGCATACTTTGTAACACAAGTGCATTCTAAAATAACTAACTGCATCGCGGTTTTCGAGACAAATGAACGCAGCGCTTTTGCGCCGCATAGCAGTCAAATGGTTAAGCTAAAATTTTAAGGAAAATATAACTAGTATTACTTTACAGTTTAAAACTAAATATGCGAATGGAGACGGTAACCATACTATCAAAATAATGCATTTTCAAATATGACCAATTGAAAATATACATCTCTTTACTGTATCTAATAAAAAATTAAGTTACAATGTTAGCTTTCTGTTTAGGAATTAATAGTTATACCAATTATTTGGTATTCTGTATTAAAATGTATAATAGTAGTTTAGTATGTATATTTTTAACAAATGCAAATTTATTCTTTGTCACTTCAAGAAGGCATTTTTTAAAAATAAAATTGAGATCTTACTTGTTGTAAAAATACATCCAAGTTCTGATATGTTTCCTCAGCATCTAAGCCTTTGAAATATGATGGTGGGCTCACATAAGAATGATCAGAAGAAATGCAAGTTGATCCAGAATCAATGCAAACTGTATTTATCGTTTTTACTCCATAGCTACTGAACACGGAATGTTTGTCATCCATAGTTGAGGACACGGAAGAAAATGATTCACACCTTTGTCTGTGATCCCCTTCTTCTGGAACTAGTCTATCATCAGCTGATTCAACATCAAAATCATGAGTTATCAAATTATCACCAAAGTTAAGGTAGGAGTCGTAGTTGCTTATATTCCAGTTTTCAACTCCATTTGGCAAACTTATTTCTCTCTTGAATTTTTTTTCAACAAAAATATTCTCAAATCCTGTAAAATGAAGATAAAAAAAGAAATGAGTTTATAAGGCTATCTTTCTCGGTTTTAACTAACTATAGTTTCAACTTTTATACACCTGATTTACACAATATATGTAATTACTTCAGTTTTTATGCATTACAGTATGAATACAAATGCAATTTTCAGTGCTTATGCATTTTTATATGAATATACTCTTATTTTTGAAAATTTGTAATGTTTCACTGTTAAAAGTTATTATCACGACTTATTAAGACTACAATAACCTTAATTTTCAAATTAAAATTCAAGCTTAAAATTGTGCAGTAGTTTAAAATATATATTAAAATGCATTACTGTTATTTATGTCAGTATGCTTAAAAACATAAGGTAGGAGGGAGTATGTTAAAAGGCATCAAAACTGTTTACTATTAGTCACTTGTTAAAACATATAAATATTAAAAAAAGCAATTTTTTAATATAAAAATTCTCAAGGTAATTTTACAGCAGTTTTAGTAACTGTGCATCAAGTATTTTTTACCTTGATTAGAGGCTTTAACGTACATATTGGTAGGTCGATGATCCACTGAATTTTGAAGCAAGTTTAACTCTTCTACTGTAGATGGCAGCACTAAAGCCATTTTTCAGGAGCGGAACTTCGATTCTATAAAAGAAAAGTCAGTATAAGTTTTCACCATAAATGTCCCTCTTAAAAAAAAAAAAAAAAAAAAAAAAAGACGAAAATAAAATAAATCCAGCCAATTAAAATATTAAATTATAATAATAATAATAATAATGTTTGTTTTTTAAACCGTATTATTCCTAAACATATGTATGTAACTGTTACGAAATTTTCTTAATATTTAAAACAATGTATAATTTACACTGCACAATTTACATTAAATATTTGCTTTTAATCAACAAATATAGTGAATATTAAAAATTATGAGAAACATTTCAGTATAACACATTTTAAATTACAGTACTGAAAAGTAATTGGCCACTAATTAAATAATAATTCATAAAGATTTAATTGAACTTAAAAGTATAATCCTGGAACACTGAAAGAATTAAAATACTCTGTCTCGGAAGAACTACGCGTCTTTAACATGAAAGTAAAATTTTATACTTAATTATTTTTCGACTATGCAGTAATGTTTTTCTAAATAAGAAATAAACACACAAAAATTAATATTGATGATAATAATTTTTATCTTTTATAAGACTACCAAATTTTTCGACTGTGTTTTACTTAACAATGCATATTATCAATAAAACTGCTAAAAATATTCAGATATTATCACACCAGAATATACATATCACAGGATTAAATATCAATTACTACATCAAGTGCCTAAACTGCATAATTTATAATTAAAATATTAAGGACAAAATAAGCGTTTATAATAATATTCAAATAAACGAACTTTCTATGTAAAAACGACGGTAAAATAAACATTTATATAAATAATATTCAAATAAACGAACTTTCTATGTAAATACGGGAAAATTTATATATAAAAAAAAAAAAAAAAAAAAAAAAAAAGCAAAAACTGAAGTATTTGTTTACACCTTCGTTAAAAAACAATTTCAAATTCTCTATGTATATTCGCTTAACAGCAGTATAATTAACTAAATATTTAATCACTATGGGTTTTGCGCGAAACATTAAAATTAATAATAATTAAAATAAAATTTCATGTCTTAAAAATATAGTGAACTTACTTTAAAATTCAGCAGTGAAAAATTCGCTTTAACATACGTAAGTGTTTGTCATATAAACCGAAGTTTAATTCAAACAAGACACCTCACTTCCACAATATTCATGAACAATCTAAAGACAGCTAACCGCACCAAAGTTTTCGCCTCAACAAAACCTAATCACCACTGAGTGGTGTATTATATCGCCAAATTCGTTATTTTTAGACCTTACCTCATCCTAACAGTCCAATGGGAAGCAAGCTTGATAGTGATGTCATTTCCAACCAATGGTAGAAGTCCGAATGAGAAAATTGCTTGGTGACATCACTGTATTCATGAGTTCGCTCGAGATACTCGTTTTTCCGAGGAAATGGTGCGGGAAGTCAAAGATGGGATGAAAAAAAAAAAAGTGTTGGCTACAAAGGCTTTGAAGCCAGTAAAAAATAGGTTGGTGGGAAGATTGTTTTTTTGATAGCTGCATTTTATAGTACTTACTTTTTTATTTTCATTTAAATCTTAAACTAACATCTTGGAATATAGTAAAAACAGGAAGGAAATTAATATATGGCAGCACTTTACGATATGATTTTTTTCCACGTACATCAAATGTTAAATCTTTGTTTAGTGCAGATTCGCTTATAACCCTCAAAGTGACCTTCAACTTTTCGTTTTGTATCGGATCTAAAATGTACTTTATGTTTACTTCTTTTAAGTAATTTATGAGATAACGAACGGGCGCAAAGCTTTACAGGAAAGAAAAGGCTTCGGTTAATCGATTAATGTTTATATTATGAATCTAATTCAAAGGAACTGAATTGCTATAAAATCTTTCTTTAATTATATTCATAATATAAACATCAATACCATATTCCTTCGAATTTAAGTTGCATGTTCAATCCAAATTTTTAAGGCTTAAATTCAAAGGGAATATTTTTAACATCTTATTTTTTGCCGATTTTCTACTCCACAACCATCCCTTTTAAATCTTTTTTTTAAATATAATTTTATTGATAGTTGACATTGCGGTGAAGATGACTCGCTGTTACGTTACAGTAAAGATGAGAATTCAGATTCTAAAAGTGTAGAAGTCAAGTGATGGTATATCCAATAGTCGAATGATTATGCTTATGCGGCCAAGAAATATTGGCTTTAATAAGCTAATTCAGCTAAATACCTCATAGGTGCATCACGTGAATTACAATTAGTTGAAGTTCCTTAAAAGGCAAGTAGTGACAATATCGTTACCGTTAGTTTGTTGGCAAGACAGGCATACAACCAAAAAATTATTTTTTGCATACAGCCATGGTAGTTCTGACATGTAGATAGATCGAGATCCTTGGCAGGTTTTAAGGATAAGCGCAAAGCGCTACCATGAATACTGTGCTGAAACTATAGAGAAATACTGTTCAAACTGGTAAAGTCTCGTCAGGCAAAACTATGATATTTAAATCGTAGTACTAAATTTTGTGTCTTTCTCACCCTAGAGATAGTATCCTATTTTGCCAAAGTACAATTTGCATTTACTTATTTATTTTGGAAAAGCAACTTTTTTTTTTTTTAGCTATAAAAGTTAAGTAAAGTACATGAACGCCGACAGATTCTAACCTTCAGTCCCGAAGCCTGAACATTTCTTCCCCCCCCCTCCCAATGTATAACATAACTATCATCTGGTTTCCATTTCCCATAAAAAATCTTTCTCTGAAGGCATCCTGTTTGCAGCAAATAGAGGTTCAGCGCTTTGCCTGACAAATAATCTTTAACCTTCCTTCAGCAGTCTAAATCATTTCAGTCACTGATGTCACTTAAAATGTGTAGTTTAGATTTTATTTAATCTGAATGAAACCATAAAGGCACAAAACACAAAAGTGCCTTTTTTTTGTATGTTTTGCTGTTGTTTTAGCAATTTTAAAAAATGAAATAAAACTTTGGATTAGTATGTTACTCCACGAATTACTTTGCATAACTGGCATATGATTTGAAGCACAAATTAAATGGCTTGCGGTACACTGAAAATTTCTAATTTATGCGTGCTGTGAGTCTTGCATTGCGATACCTGCGAAATGTACATATTTTCGTTACAAAGTATTTCGTGCGTAAATAAATATTCATTCATCTTTTCAAGTGTGCAAACTATGACTAACTGTTATTTGGTGTTAGTTGGTTTGGTTTGGTTTATTTAATTATGCCAAAGCACACTAGGGCTATCTGCCTAAGGGGAGGGATCCCTTCGTGGAGGACTTTCTAAGGAAAACTGACTCGTATACACGTTACACATGGGGAAACCCACGAAAACGCCCATGCAGCCAGTCCGTTCGCGGGATTCGAACCTCGGACCGAACTACCAGTGTTCAGCGACTTTACCGCTCGGCCGCTGGTGGGCCTTGTTCGGTGTCAGAAGGTCGACTAATGGCCGGTCACCAAATATTAGAGTATATGTTTAGTAGTATTACAATAATTCGAGCCGAGGTTAAATCTCGAGAAGGGACTCACTACACTGGTGTTTTGCCCCTTGTATAGCTTAAATAAAAGCTAGTTTTTCTTAGAAAGTCCTCCACAAAGACATTTTCCTTCTTAGACAGGTAGCTCTTGAATACTTTGCTATATTCAAAACAACGCCGATATTAAGGTTTGGTTTTTGGTTTATTTAATTATGGCAAAGCACACTAGGGCTATCTGCCTAAGGGGACGGATGCCTTCGTGGAGGACTTTCTAAGCCGATATTAAGGAAATAACGATATATTACTCATTTTCAAAGTAAAAAGAGAATAATAAGTTTCCTTTGTGTCCCACCAATGGCCGAGAGGTTAAGATCGCTAAATACAGCTTGGGTTCGATCCCAGGCGAACGGGCTGTCTGCATGGTTAGTTTTCGTGGCTTTTCCCATGTATAGCGTGAATACGAGCCAGTTTCTCTTATAAAGTCTCCTCCAGGAAGGCATCCCTCCTTTTTATGCAGATAAGCCCTCGTGGCTTTGTGATATTCAAGTAACCTAATCGAACAGTTTCCTTTGCCAAAATACCAACAACTGTTCGAAGAATAACTTTGGCCAGAACCTTCTTATTAATTCCCAATTAGAGAACTGAAGACACAAAATTCTTTTGTAGAATAACTAATGCATTAAAAACGCGTAGTTCAAATTTTAAGCACTTCGAGGCCTGTGCCTGAAAGAAGGAATGTTTTCATTAGAGGACTTCCTTTGTGAAACTGTCTCGTATTTATATTATACATAGCGAAAATCGTGAAAACACCCATGATGTCAATTTGTTCACTTATTTTTTTTTTTTTTTTTTTTAATGAAAGAGTTTTTAATTGAAGTCCATGATAAAAGAAAATCTGCTTCTGGAATAAAATTAAAGAAGTCGCCTTTGTTAAAACTCATAATTCTATATTTCGCAATTCAGTGCAGTTCTTAGTTTAATCCACGAGTATTGGCACTAAAAACAGTAAATTTAACTTCACCACAGAGATACAAACATTTCACAGCGCAAGAAGGCAACAACAAACAAGCACAGATAGAGAAAAACAAACAATTTCCTTCCAAAACGTTCAATTCAGTAAATCTTACTTTACTTTCCTTCTCACTTTTTAGTAACAGCGATTCACGTTTGTATTGTAACGTATCGTTTGTAATATTGCGATGTTTTATGTATTTATTGTTTAAACTAGTAGTAAGGTTCGTTATAGGAACAAATACAACGGGCTCTGAATTGATTTAGTTACCTTTTTTAATTTTTTTTTATTTGATATATTATCATCATGCACACGTTTCAAAACATTCAATTCGTTTATGTGTAAAGTAGTTGCTGGAATGATAGATTTAGTACATCTTAGGGAATAGCAATTAACCCCTACCCCTAATTCTGTTTGCTGTTTGCCACTGATGCGCAGGGTCGGCGCTAAGCATTTTTGCTGCCTAATGCAACTCTTTTGCGTCCTAAATTCTGCTCTCCTGCACTTCCCTCAATTTTAAAAATTTTAGCGTCCCTATATTTTTCTGTCTAGTGTTCTTAAATTCTCAGAATTCTTCTATCCCTAAATTTTGCGGCTTGGTACTTCTCCGAGTTCTAAATTTTTTGCCGCCCCTAAATTCTGCCGTCCGCACCGGCTCTGGCACCGGCCCTTCAATTATGGTAAAGCACACGAGGGCTATCTGCCTTCGTGCCTTCGTGGGATGCCTTCGTGGGGGATTTTCTAAGGGTAACTGGCTCGTATACACGCTACACATGGGAAAAACCACGAAAAACGGCCATACAACCAGCCCACATGGCCCACGAGCAATATATCGTTGTTTATAAAACAATATATCGTTATTTCCTTAATATCGGCTTAGAAAGTCCTCCACGAAGGCATCCGTCCCCTTAGGCAGATAGCCCTAGTGTGCTTTGCCATAATTAAATAAACCAAAAACCAAACCTTAATATCGGCGTTGTTTTGAATATAGCAAAGTATTCAAGAGCTACCTGTCTAAGAAGGAAAATGTCTTTGTGGAGGACTTTCTAAGAAAAACTAGCTTTTATTTAAGCTATACAAGGGGCAAAACACCAGTGTAGTGAGCCCTTTCTCGAGATTTAACCTCGGCTCGAATTATTGTAATACTACTAAACATATACTCTAATATTTGGTGACCGGCCATTAGTCGACCTTCTAACACCGAACAAGGCCCACCAGCGGCCGAGCGGTAAAGTCGCTGAACACTGGTAGTTCGGTCCCAGGTTCGAATCCCGCGAACGGGATGGCTGCATGGGCGTTTTTGTGGGTTTCCCCATGTGTAACGTGTATACGAGTCAGTTTTCCTTAGAAAGTCCTCCACGAAAGCATCCCTTCCCTTAGGCAGATAGCCCTAGTGTGCTTTGCCATAATTATAAAGGTGCTGGCATCAACATCATGCAGAGTCAGTTTAACCTAAAATCCTATTGTCTACTCACCTTGCAAGCACATTTTAGTTTCTACTCTGATTTTGGGGCAAATGAAAACTTTTCATGCGCAGAAGTGTTCAAGATCTGATTACTGTAGTGTTTAAGGATATTTCAAAAATAATTCTATGGATTTCCATAATCCTTTTTTTACTTCCTTGTACGAAGTAAAAAGGAAGTATTGTAATCGCGAAAAGCTTCAGGCAGCATATTTCAACGAAAATATCTACTTTGACCGCTTTCGAATGCAATTTAACGATGTTTTTGTAA